AATGCCTCGCGTTTGACAGCTGCCGGTGTTCTGACGATTCATGCTACCCATCGAGATTTGCTACTTACTGGTTATGCGCATGTGCAGACTCAGTTTTTTTTTAACAAAAGGTAAATTTTCATGTGTTTTAAGTAATTCCCCTTTTAAAAATGCCAACTACTACCATATGAATATTTGTACGGTCAGTCAGCTGAACAAGTTTCAGTTACTAAGGAAAGGTGTGCTTTAACAAGTCAAAGATGAATATTTGATGATAATTTTTACTTTTCATACCGTTTTAAAAATAAAAACAGTAGTTTACAGTATACAGTAGCTACTCATAACTTAGAATTGTGTTATAATTGTATTTCATTTAATATTAATCGACATTCTGTGATCGATTCGCGCAACGGTAGCATTTTTCGACAATGCAGCACAAATCGTCAGAACACCGGTACCGGGAAGGGGCTGCCCCGGAGCTCTCCCACGCCTCGGCGACTCAGCGCTCTGGAACCATAGAAATGTCACCTAAAAATTGATGAATCACGTGCGACAAGCTGTCACGGGCGGAACCATGTTTGGGCTCGGTTTCCGGAAACAGAAACAGGCCTGCAGTTCTCAGTGGCGGATTTAGCAAATTGGGGGCCCAAAGCGAAGGTACGTATGGGCAATTGCAATTGGCATTGCACATGAGATTGACATTTAAAACATTCTACAAACAAACATTTTTATAGGTTTGTAGGCTTATTAGTTTATATATTTTATAATGAAATAATTTCACAGTTAATCTACAAATGAATGTAGAGACAACATAAAGACAGTATATTTTAAATACTTGTTTAATGGCATCTTTTTATGAATGAAGGTCAGTATCACTGATACTACAGCTATTGATGTCTGGATAAAACTGATTTTTCCCCTAATTTTAAACATTAATTATAGCCATCCATCCAACATTACAGTGTAATTGAAAGCCAAAAAATGTACATTTTGTTAGGCTTCAAAAAATATTTAACAACTTTTAATTTACGTGAACTTAAAACAATCATCAGATAAACCCATAATAAATGTCATATTTACTTTTGCCCTTTCAGTATAACAGTATAGCTACACGTTATCCTCAACTAGCGTCACTTCACAGCTGCTGCTGTAGCGGCATGTGTCCCCAACAGTAGGCGTAAAAAGTTTGTCATTTTTGGCAGTGTTGCCAAATACATATCGGCGTCTTTTGTCTTTTTTTCTTTTATTTGAGCCGCTTGGGTAACTTTGTTTCATTTTCGCGTTTAGACTCGTCTTGCTTCGTTGTGTAACGTTACTTCTCAATCCTCCTGTCATGTTCATCTTTCGCGGTTTCGCGCCGCGCGCCGTTCGGACTAGTCCATTTTATCGCGAAAGTAGGGGGTGTTATGTGTAGGGACAGATAACCATGAACTGGACATTTTAACTACTACTTCAACATTTCAACGTATTTCTTAAGAATGTTAATAACATTTACTATGCATTTGAAGCGTTCATGATGATAAGGGGCTTTTTCTTTTCTTTTATATATATTTTTTTGAGGTTGGTTGGGGGGCCCCCCTACTACGACCGCTGGTAGGGGGCCCCAAGCAGCCGCCTACCTATGCCTCTATGTTAAGACCGCCACTGGCAGTTCTGGTTATACAAGATGCTTGCTGTAAGACACACCTGATAATGTGTTCACACCTGATTATATATATATATATATATATATATATATATATATATATAGGTAAATTAGTCCAGTTTTTGACAGTCATTTTGATGACAATATGCATGCATATGTGGCCTAAAAAATATACATATAGCCTATATCTACTGTATATATGTATGTGTATATACAGTATATAAAGTCTATATATGTATAGATTATATAATAGGCCTATATATATATGCATGCATATTGTCATCAAAATGACTGTCAAAAACTGGACTAATTTACCTGAATCTAGTTTTCTTTACTCACTAGCTCAGTAAACGTCGTCAACTTGATAATATTTGAAATCCTATTTGAAAAAGTTGATTGAGAAATCACTCTTGAATAAAACAAATAAATCCAATGACTTTTGCATGTTTCTCTACAAGCTGTTTGGATTTATTTCACCTTATTAAAGTGCATGGATTGATAAAGCTTGCATATAATCTTAGCTCAGGTGATTTTTAATGAATGAAAATTAATAGGTTAATTTAAAAATATATATATCTTATTTTTATTACATATACAGAAAGTCTTCATAGGTGTACTGCCAAAAAAAAAAAAAAAAGTTATTGGTCAGTCTCATTATCATTCTTCCCACTAAACACCTTACAAAACGACTCCCTTTGTTTCTTATTTCACAGCAGTGTTGCATTCATATTAGCATGAAACGGGCATAAACTCCGGCACCTGAGTCTCTCGATCTAATAAACGAAATCTCCACGGGTGCTGAAGGCTGTTATCAAAGCGCGCCAAAGCAACTTTATGACTCATATTTGAAAACATGGTCACAGATGCAGCTGCAGTCCAAATATGCGCCACGGCTCATTAGATGCTCTGGAGAAATGAAGCATTGCATAACACACGATCAAATGAGGCGCAACTCAGCAGAGATGTTTAATCTCAGGCACGCTTTTACCGTAAATGATCTCACATCGTGTGCATACATGCAGTGTTTATGTAACGTCAACTCCTATGGCGATATGAACGTGCACAAACATACTAAAGCACATCTTTGAGTGTTTGTTCGATTTAACATGGCATTTAGATGCATCCGATCCTGCAATGCATTGCACACGGGAAGGCTGTATGCATGTGTGTGTGTGCAGAACTATCGCTGTCCGCGGTGCTAAACTGATGCATAAACCGCAAAATGACCCCAGATGATCGCTGTCCGCGGTGCTGCACGGATGCGTTAACCGCAAAACGAATGCGGAATGGTTGTCTGGAATCAGCTTCCCTTTACAAAGCATCAGCCCGCGTCATTAGCGAAAGGGAAGATGGTAGGGATGGCTCAAGGGAAGTTGATGCAGATCAACAGTTAGGAGAAACCCCATTGGGACGGACTGGTGTAGATCCAAAACAAAACATACATTTTTCCTGTAACAAATCACTCTGAATGCATGCAACTGAGCCTCGTGTCGTTAAAGGTCTGTTACGTCCGCATTGCTCGGTGTTCTCATTGTTTTACTGTTTCTATAATCGCTCATCTCATCGTTTGAACCCATCAGATCGTCTGTCGAGAGTCACCGGGGGTTCTTTCCGTCTGACACTGTTCCATTGCGAACATAATGGCCGCCTGTCATTCACAAACGCGCCTCATTTTTTCCGCAATGGTCTTCAGGAAAGTGTCTCCGCTACGTCACGCCCCTGTGCCCATTTTCGGAGGGGAACCCCGTCACATCCTCTGGCCATATTTGGGCAAGAGCCGTCTAAAGTCTGTCCACGGCGGGGAATCCTCCTGCTGACGTAGATGAGCGGTGGGCGGGGCCTCGGGCGAGCCGAACAGTATAAAAGGGCGATGAGGAATTCCGGTAAAACGAATCGACGGAGACCAGAACCTGAAGGAAGCCAAACGAGCTCTTACCGCAACAAGAAAAAGGGAATCCCAAAGCATTATCTTGAAGGATTGCCTTATTATTCCCACGACATTTCTTGTGGATTTTTTTTGCTTCGTATTCAAATCGACATTATGCTGAACACGGTGGACTTCAGCGCTCTGGATCTGCTTTGCGCTCAAACGTTTTCTCTGGAGGGACAATCTTCCCCTCAGAATCAACCTGATGCTGGTGAGTACACAAGATGTGCATCGTTTTTACACAGCCTGACTTAATGCAATGCAATGATGCACAATATTAGATGCAATGCACACAATATACCCGGAAACCCTCTTAAAAAATAAAGGTTCTTTATTGGCATCGATGGTTGAACCATTAATATCCATAGAATGTTTCCATTCCACAAAAGGTTCTTTATTGGCATCGATGGTTCCTTAAAGAACCTTCAACATCCATGGAATCTTTCCATTCCACAAAAGGTTCTTTTAAATGTTCTTTACACCAAGAACTGATCACTGAAAGGAAACCAAAATGGTTCTTCTATCTATGGTATCGCTGCAAAAACCTTTATTTTGAAGTGTACATATTGTAAAATGACATGCAATCCACAAAATTTAAGCGCACATTCTGAAATGTGAGAATCAATCATTAGACATCATGAGTTCGGATGTGCTGCTGATGCAGTGAGTCAACATTATGTAACGCATATCCCTCTGCTCTTTCTCTCGCAGCTCTCGGTCTGTTGAAGCCTAAAGCAGAGCCGCTGGACGCCGGTTTCCCCGATTGTTCCAGCGACGGGTTCCCTCCGTCTCCGCAGGTCTACACCGGCAGCTTCTACACGGAGACCGGCCCGTACAGCGCGGACGCGCTTCTCAACCTCCTCACGGAGATCGTCGGCATCTCCACAGCTCCCGATTACCTCCCGGGAATGTCTCGTGGGAGCACGCTCTCACGCCAGGAGTCGCTGTTTTCCACCGGGAGCTCGTTGGGATCACCGGAATCCCTCTGCAACGACTCGTCGGATGAGTTCGCGGACGCGAGTGCGCAACAGTTCACGATTAAGAGCGAGTTCGGGACGAGTTGCAACAGCGGGGATCTTTTCGATGGCTTCGTTACTTCTCACGAGCCTTCGGACCTGGATGACATCATTGACCTGCTCTCTCCACTGGGTCCCGAGACGGACTTGATTTTGGACACGTGGATCAAGCAAGAGCCCTTGGAACAAGCAAGCGCGCTTAACTTTACACCGAACTTCCAGATTCCCGCAACAGCAGCAACTTCCCATGAAAACAGCCTTTATAGGAGCATCGCGTTCCCGGGATTCGGCTGCGCAACGACCGCGCTCGCCGACGCGCTGGACTCGCTTCTCTCCACCAACACGCTCGCGCAAAGAAGCAAACCGCGCGCTAGGAAAGGCGCGCCCCGCGAGAAGCCGTTCTCCTGCCCGATTGAGAACTGCGAGCGTCGCTTTTCCCGCTCCGATGAGCTCAATCGCCACGTGCGCATTCACACCGGACACAAGCCCTTCCAGTGCCGCGTGTGCCTGCGTTGCTTCAGCCGCAGCGACCATCTCACCACTCACATGCGCACGCACACCGGAGAGAAGCCGTTCTCCTGCGACGTGTGCGGGCGACGCTTCGCGCGCAGCGACGAGAGGAAGCGGCACGGTCGCGTGCATTTCAAACAGCGCGAGAGGATGCAGCAGAAAACTGAGCTTCTCGCCGCGTGCGCGTTCGAGCTCCAGTGCGCGTGAGCGCCAGTTCCCTCTCAATCGGTTCTGCCCGTTCTGGAAAGTTTATGGCTCGAGCGCAACGCGGTTCAATGCTAGAGACGCTGAGCTGGAGGAGGACGCGTCTGAAGCGGGGCGAGCGTCACACGCGATGTGTTGATGATGATGATGATGCGTGAGCCTGGCATGCGGATGAATGAACGCTTATAAACACTCATTTACGCGTTTCAGCACTTCCGGTGGACAGCAACACAAACTCTCCGTTTAACGCACGCACGCGGTGGAAAGCTCGGAGGAGGCTGATGACTCGAACCTCGTGTTGTCGTTTATGAAGTCTGCATGTCTTGATGTAAACGTGCACTTGTTTTACCCTGCTGTGGCATGCAACACGTGATGTCCGGTTTAACATGTATTTTGATACATCACTTTATAAAGCACACGAGAAGAGCTCTATATATTTGTACGTTATTGATTGTAATTTTTGTATCGTTGATGATTTTCAAGAGAGTATAGAAAAAAATCTATCTTATAGGTTTTCATAAGTGATTGTATTCCACTTTCGACAGTAGAATGTGTTCGGTTGGTTCTTGGGAACCTGATGCGCTAACTATAGAGTATTTATTTAAAACTTCAACATCGTAGTTGAGTTGCAGTAGCACACTTAGATGTGCAGAATCACTTCCGGTTTCTTCTGGAATCGCTGTTGTCGTCTATTTGCCTTTGAAAAACTGTTCTCGTGCAATGAAACGCTGTTAAATGCCTTGTGGATATTTGAGGCTATGAATGTTTCAAATAAAACTTTATTTATTGACATTACTTGAATGGTTGTGTTTATGGTGATATCTTAACTGAACACACATCCACACACATCAGAAAACTAAAGTTTGGACAAACATGCTCATTATATATTAGTGCTAGCCTATTACACATTTTACAATACTCTGTAACATCTAAATTAATTGGTTTTAAAACAAAGTACATGAATTTATACCAACAAAATAACATTTAATGGGTTAAATCAAGAAAAAAATGCAGCACCTTTTACAGTTAAGAATAAATTCATCAAAACTATGAAATATTAAGCATGTCCAAACTTTTGGTGTATAAGCCCAACACAATATAACAAAATAGTATAAATAAACAAAACAATGAACTTTTAGTTTTTTACACAAGGTAAAAATACTATAAAATGAGTAAATATACATTAAGTATATATTTTTATATATATAACTTCATTATTGTATTTAGGATTCAAATAAATAATTGATAATAAAGTTGTCATTACAATGTTTGTTTTATATATATATATATATTGTACTTTTCCTATATTGTAGTGATCAATTAGATAACAGGGTTCAAAACAGACAATTAAATAAATACATTAATAGGTTTTTCATTTGACTGTAAAAAAATATTGAAGAATCGTTTTTATATTGTACTTTTCCTATATTTTAGCAATTAAACAATTCAATGGATTCCAATTTCATACAGGAAATAAAACAAAAAGAAAAACGAATGAAGGAAGGAATAAATAAAGTAAGCTCGACATTAATGTAAGGATATTGTAAAATTAAGTTGTTTTTATATTGCACATTTCCTATATTGTATATAGGATTCGTATTTCATACAGGCAATCAAATAAAAATAAAGAAGAATAAAATAAACGTTAAAAAATGGAATATAGATAAATAAAGTTTTTTAATATTATAAATAAACAATTTTTAAATTGTACTTTTCCTATATTTTAACGGTAACACTTTACAATAGGGTTCATTAGCTAACATTAGTTAACATTTAAACTAATAATGAACTGCACGTATACAGCATTTATTAATCTTTGTTGATGATTAATTTCAACATTTACTAATACTTTATTAAAATCTTGTTAACATCATGAACAAACAATGAACAGCTTTATTAAACAACGTTAACAAAGATGAACAGATACAGGAACAAATGTATTGCTCATGGTTAGTTAGTACATTAACTAATGTTAACTAATGGACCTTATTGTAAAGTGTTACCATTTTAGCAATTAAACAATTCACCTTATTGTTTTTATATTAAACGCATACTGTGAAATAACAGCGCATTATTCGCTCCAGATTCAGAGCTTCAGCACCACGAGTCATGTGGCCAGCGCCGCTCGCGCACAGGCGCGTGCCCGACGCTCGTGTGCACACAGATGCGTTTTTCCTACCTCTTTCACAGTCCTCCAGTAGTGACGTCAGAGGCTGCTCGTGCACGGACGGCCTCGGTGAGTTTTGCGGGTCTGTGGAAGACAGGAGTCCAGACAGAGTGAAAGCACGGACGCGTCGGAGGAGTCTCGGAACCGGAGGATACTGACGGGGTCGGTGAGCATGAACACTCACAGTGATGCTGACATGATTAATGCTGCACATTGCAATAACAGGCTGAGCTCGCGCTGCATGCTTATGGGTGATGCACGTGAAGTTATTGGGCTGGGTCGCGTGCAGGATACACACACATCAGACAGATGCCGATGCAAGACCAGCTGATGAAGATATGATGACCAAATTCATTCACTTTGTATTTCCTTACATTATAATCGCGATGATAGACAACATAAACGAACCTTAAATGAGAAATAAATTGGCTCTTTAGGCGGAAGAGTGTGATTTTCATGATTGATGTGCACATGCATATTTCTAGACTGTGTTTCATAATCACGGTGTTAATGGAGCAAGACTCGGACAGCTTTTGTCTTCATCATATTCATGCGGAAATAATGCGGAGCGCGCGCACAGGGTCATGCATGAATTCCGATACGTCACTTTGAATATTTCACACACACACACACGCGCGCGCGCACAATTCACTTCATGTGTGTGAATCTGAACCGGTTGAACTTATGTTGAAAATAGAATTTACATCGATATAACATCAATAATTCTTCATTAGTCAAACTTTTAAATGGTAGTGTTTATTGAAGAGATTATAGCATTCTGGGAATAAAGTGTTCCACACACACACCCACACACACTTACAGAGAGATGGAGAGACAATTACTACATACCTGATATTCTAGTAGACACATAATTAGATAAATGAATAAAGTAAAAGAACAAACATCAAAGAGAGGGTGATGCAAGACAATGAAATTTGCTGCAATATAGTGCGACACGATTTATTTAAACAATTGTGAGACATACCTTGAACAAATACATACCCTAAAACAACACAAGGGTACCAGTGGCCGTCCAGGGAATCTAAACATGATCAAAGGATAAAAAACACTTTATACTTACTGTGCATTTGTAACATGATGTAACATAAGGGTAACATTGTAGATGTATCATGAGTGTAACATTGTAGATGTATCATGAGTGTAACAAGTGTAGATGTATCATGAGTGTAACAAGTGTAGATGTAGCATGAGTGTAACAAGTGTAGATGTAGCATGAGTGTAACAAGTGTAGATGTAGCATGAGTGTAACAAGTGTAGATGTAGCATGAGTGTAACAAGTGTAGATGTAGCATGAGTGTAACGAGTGTAGATGTAGCATGAGTGTAACGAGTGTAGATGTAGCATGAGTGTAACGGGTGTAGATGTAGCATGAGTGTAACGAGTGTAGATGTAGCATGAGTGTAACAAGTGTAGATGTAGCATGAGTGTAACGAGTGTAGATGTAGCATGAGTGTAACAAGTGTAGATGTAGCATGAGTGTAACAAGTGTAGATGTAGCATGAGTGTAACGAGTGTAGATGTAGCATGAGTGTAACAAGTGTAGATGTAGCATGAGTGTAACGGGTGTAGATGTAGCATGAGTGTAACGAGTGTAGATGTAGCATGAGTGTAACGAGTGTAGATGTAGCATGAGTGTAACGAGTGTAGATGTAGCATGAGTGTAAAGAGTGTAGATGTAGCATGAGTGTAACGAGTGTAGATGTAGCATGAGTGTAACTAGTGTAGATGTAGCATGAGTGTAACGAGTGTAGATGTAGCATGAGTGTAACGAGTGTAGATGTAGCATGAGTGTAACGAGTGTAGATGTAGCATGAGTGTAACGAGTGTAGATGTAGCATGAGTGTAACAAGTGTAGATGTAGCATGAGTGTAACGGGTGTAGATGTAGCATGAGTGTAACAAGTGTAGATGTAGCATGAGTGTAACGAGTGTAGATGTAGCATGAGTGTAACTAGTGTAGATGTAGCATGAGTGTAACAAGTGTAGATGTAGCATGAGTGTAACAAGTGTAGATGTAGCATGAGTGTAACAAGTGTAGATGTAGCATGAGTGTAACAAGTGTAGATGTAGCATGAGTGTAACAAGTGTAGATGTAGCATGAGTGTAACGAGTGTAGATGTAGCATGAGTGTAACAAGTGTAGATGTAGCATGAGTGTAACGAGTGTAGATGTAGCATGAGTGTAACAAGTGTAGATGTAGCATGAGTGTAACAAGTGTAGATGTAGCATGAGTGTAACAAGTGTAGATGTAGCATGAGTGTAACTAGTGTAGATGTAGCATGAGTGTAACTAGTGTAGATGTAGCATGAGTGTAACGAGTGTAGATGTAGCATGAGTGTAACGAGTGTAGATGTAGCATGAGTGTAACAAGTGTAGATGTAGCATGAGTGTAACGGGTGTAGATGTAGCATGAGTGTAACAAGTGTAGATGTAGCATGAGTGTAACTAGTGTAGATGTAGCATGAGTGTAACAAGTGTAGATGTAGCATGAGTGTAACAAGTGTAGATGTAGCATGAGTGTAACTAGTGTAGATGTAGCATGAGTGTAACGAGTGTAGATGTAGCATGAGTGTAACGAGTGTAGATGTAGCATGAGTGTAACAAGTGTAGATGTAGCATGAGTGTAACGGGTGTAGATGTAGCATGAGTGTAACAAGTGTAGATGTAGCATGAGTGTAACGAGTGTAGATGTAGCATGAGTGTAACTAGTGTAGATGTAGCATGAGTGTAACAAGTGTAGATGTAGCATGAGTGTAACAAGTGTAGATGTAGCATGAGTGTAACAAGTGTAGATGTAGCATGAGTGTAACAAGTGTAGATGTAGCATGAGTGTAACAAGTGTAGATGTAGCATGAGTGTAACGAGTGTAGATGTAGCATGAGTGTAACAAGTGTAGATGTAGCATGAGTGTAACGAGTGTAGATGTAGCATGAGTGTAACAAGTGTAGATGTAGCATGAGTGTAACAAGTGTAGATGTAGCATG